AGTTTTTATGTGAAAAACCCGTGAAGGAAAAAAACCATGGGGCCTGGCAAAGTTATAAAAATTTCACTATAAGTTGATGATTATAGATGCTCCTTGTCCCACAGACATGAAAGTGTTACAAGATTTTTCAAGGTACAACGTCGACTGACGACGTCTGGTTAGCAGTGAACGAAGACAGTTGATGACGGTCGGCCGTGGTCGACGGAAACGATCGGTGGTAGTCGACAACGACCAATCGTGTTCGACGGAGGCTGGCGGTGGTTGCTGACGGTCGGTGGTGGTCGACGACGAACGACAATAACAAAGATGATGTTGTACTTGAACTCCTTCTCAAAGCCTCAAGTTCTCTCTCAAGCCTCCCCCCTAATGTGAGGGGTGGGACTCTATTTATAGTGTTCTAGGTGTAATTAATGTAGAAATATGAATAATTTTGATCGGACGGTCTGGAGAGCTTCTATCGATTGGATGAAGTTTAATGGACATTTGAGGGTCTTAACGAGTCGGAATTGAGCAATCTTGGGCTCGTTGGATTCATCTTGTCGAGATGCTCGATTTGACTATGAACTCACTATATTTGACATTAGTTTGACCCTTCAAATGCCTCTGAAAATTCTTTAAGTGTGTTTAATGATTTGATCTCAGCTTGATCTGACTCGGATTAGACTAGTATTTATATCATTGGGTCGGTTTCATCGAGCTGGTCAGTTTGACTATAAGTTCTCTGAAATCGAAGCTAAGGATGAATCTTAATTGAGGTTTGAATGTTTCCTTCTCAAAAGGTTGCCTCGAGATACGTGATGGATGATGAAAATTTGTTGGTGGCGTATCAGATATAAATAGGCCCCTCTCTTCGCTTGAGAGGGAAGAAGGGGGGTTAATAACTAGAGCCCACTTTAGACTGAAGACTTGACAATTACTTCCGATCTCTATAGTTGTTGACCACAGTCGATCACCTCCAGTTTTCACTGCTTATCGCTTACAAATGTCATATCTTAAATACTGTTGTAATATATAACATTTGTATTGAAGACCTGGTGGTAACTTATGGTCTTTGTAGGCTCTGTCCACCATCACTACCGTTGACATTTATTGTTTGACTCCATCTATCCTTGCTTACATCAAATATTATTGTAATATATAATCCTCATATTGAAGACCCAACGATAGCTTCTGATCTTTATAGTCACTGATCAACTTTGACTATCTCCCGTCAGGCACGAACACACTGTTGACCACTCTTTATTGTCACTGCTTCCCATGGGCAAGCCTTACTTGTGACTGTTGTATCCCATATACGGTTGTAATGTATAACATATGTATTGAAGACCTGATGATAACTTTCGACCTCCATAGCAGTTAACCACCGCTCGTTAGTCCGTTAACCACTGTCAACTGTCACCACCTACCACTGCCAATCACCTGTCTCTGACAACCCCTACTTGCAAATGTTGTAGTCCAACAATAGCCTTTGTGGCGACTATTACTGTTACATCATTTAATTATATACTTTAAGGCCAAGTACTGCTTTTGCAGCCATCGACCATAACATTTGTGGCTAGCCACTAATGTAAAAGCTTTCAATTATGACAATCGTGACTAATTGCTGCTATTACAAAAAAAAAAAAATTATGTACACTCTTTTGTATGTAGATCAATGGCTACGATGTGCGAAAAAAAAAGGCCATGACCCCCTTATATCCACATTGTTGGGCGTAAGCGCACCGGCCTCACATAATATTTGTTTCTATTGCAGACACTAACTACATCACTTATGACTAATTATTATCTTTGTAGCAATCAAGTACAATATTTGTGGCTAACTAGTGTTATTATAAGGAATAGCTATATTTGTTGTAGTTTAATTAAGGCTATTATAGTTATATTATTATTGTACATCTGTGATTGCCACCTTTGTGATTCCACTTTCTATTACAAATTATAAAAGTACCACAACTTACAATAAAAAAATGGCAAAATAAAAAAAAAGTGGAACCAAAAAATCCAATAAATTTGTAATATTATTGACTTCATCAAGTGATCTTTCTCCCCTTTTTTGTCTCTTCTTGGCTCCAATAGACACTCACTCATAACAATTTTACACACTATTGCACACATTTTAGAACTCACTCTTCACTCTCTGTACTGCATAATTCACACAAAACTCCCCACCTTCTTCACTTAAGTTGCCACAAGCTCCAAAAAAATCATCCTTCCGCACAAAAGTTTGAATTTTGTCATCAGTAAACGTCCTTCGAAGGCTTTCGCATCGTAACTTCGTAGTTGGGCCCCAAGCACTGGCCTTGGGCACTCCATTGCTGAAATATCGGTGTTGAAGCTCTAAGTTCACTATCTTATGAACTTTTGTTCTGTCTTCAATGACGTTGTAATGTTAAAACTTGTGGCACTGAGCTTGAGCGATGCGGCACTAGATAATCTCCCCAGGCTTTGAACTCTAGAGAAAACAAAAAATCATTTGGGATGCTTATAAGCACGGCTTTTAGACGCTAGTGGTCGACTTTGCGACAATCAAGTAAACTTTACCATCTCCTTACCTTCATTTTTAAAGAAATTTTTGCCCAAAATCACATAAATTTATGCCAGATATGAAATAAAGGCAGAAAATAATGTTAGTTTTTTACATATTTTTGTCACTCAACACTAATCAACCACTCTTGCTAACATGGCAAGGTGCCTGGCGGGTAAGCAACATACAAGATGGGATGAAGTCTTGAGTCAATTTCAATTAATTTAGAATTTCTTGCTAAATCGCTCCACTGGCCGTGCACCATTTGATATTGTCTACACTGAAGCACCCAATCAAGTGCTTAGCCATCCTACCAAAGTCTGTCAATGGTACCGCAAACAATACGGCCACAATGTTTTCCAAGATGTTGTAAGAGGTGCGAGAGTTCCGACCTCTCAGCTAGCACAAATAAATATAAACAGCATGCACCGCAGGCACAAAGAACTCCCATGTTGGAGACCTTGTTATGATATAATTGTGAATGAAGTGCTTTCCCTATCACTGTCAAGATCAATGACAATATTTATGTTGTTCAATTACCACCCGAGCTTAATGTTTCACATACTTCTAATATTTTTAGTTAAATATGCTTAACTCTCTCCGGATGACAGGGCAGCACAAACTTCAAAACTCGAGTCGAGTCGGAGTTTGTGCTGTAATAGATGATATCAAAGTGGAAATATCTATTTGATATATGATTTCAATTGAATGAAATGGTAAGTGGGATAAATTGTGAAATCCTTACGTAGAATAAAGTTGAACTCTTAAATATGGAGGTATCTTTTGATCTAGCGATTCAAATTTTAATCAAACTCCAAAGTTAAATGTACCTAAGCAGGGGCACTTTCTGGTTAGATGGGTGACCTCTTAAGAAGTTACACCATTGAAACAAAATTATGAGACAGTTTTTTCAGAAACAAATAATATATATCCCATGAATGAGAGTTCAAGCTATTATAAATTTATAATGATTGTGTTGCTCGATCAAGTACTCTATTTTTTCGAAAAATGGATTTAGTAGATAAGGCCAGACTCCTAGAATCTTTAAGCAAGTTCAATTAATGAATTCTAAAGTCTAACATGACTTTTTTATTATTGTCAATAGAAGAATTTATTTTTTATTCGTGCTAGAAGATTCACGACGGTAGAGTAATAGATTATCTTCTTAGCGTTGCCAGATAATTCAACACACACTAAGATGAAGGAAAACAACTGATAATGACACCAAAACTTTTTACGTGAAAAACTCAAAAAGGCAAAACCCATAGGACCTGATTGAGCTGAAGAGATTCACTATATAAAGATGATTATAGTTTGCAACTATTTGTCCCACAAGCGAGAAATTGTTACCAAGTTACAATGTTGATGTGCTAATGAATTGTTGCTAGGAACAGACGACGACTGAAAGCGATTGGCAACATCCGGTCGGTGGTGGTTGACTGTGGTTGGCAATGATTGGCGGCGTTTCACGGTGGTCGACGGAGATTGACTGTGATGGACGGAGTTCAAAGATGGGCGACGAAGATTGGTGGTGATCGACGACAGCCAGCGGTGGTCGATAGAGGTTAGCGGTGGTCGGCGACGGTTGATAGTGGTTGACTGCGATCGGCGATAATCAATAGTGGTGGTTATGGACTTCAACTCCTTGTCAAAGTTTCAAGCTCCTCCTCCAATCTCAATCTCTCATCCCCTCTCATGAGCGAGGTGAGACTCTATTTATAGAGTTCTGAGTGAAATTAATGCAAAAATGTGAACCACTTTGATCAGACGGTCCGAAATTTCTTAACGATGTTGGAATTGAGCGATCTTGGGCTCATTGGGTTTTTTTTATCAAGAAGCTCGATTCGACTGTAAGCTCGCCAAATTTGACATTCATTTGATCTTTTTAAAATACTCGAAATGCCTTCAAAAATGATTTAATGACTTGATCTAAATTTGATTTGAATTGAACTAAACTTATTTCTGTATTATTAGGTCTGCTTGAGTACTCTGAAATCTTAATTATGAATGACTTTTAATTAAAATATAAAATTTTTTTTGTATATCCGGGACGATATAATTTGGTTTAAACTTAATGAATTAGTATAACGAGGACACATTTGTGCCCAACTAAAATTTCACTAATATTATACAAAAAAGAAACTTATCATCATCAACCCCACATGTATGAGCTCCATCCAAACCGACAACACATTGATCAGTCGCACGTGCCACTGTTCAATTCACCCCATACTCCTTACCTGTAAACCGCCAAAGGCATTAGAATACACTTCCCGTTCTTATCTTCCTCGCCGGCGACAGAACGCTTGAAACAGATTATGAGCGGTGGCGAGCCATTTGGCAGAATCCGCCAACGCGTGTCCGCCAGATGTCACATCCCTAGAAGCCCGCTTGTTGTATTCCAGCTTTCACCACAGTTTGCTTTCTACACGTGTAGGCCATGCACCCTCACCCCTCCAACTATATTACTCTCATCTTCTCTTCTCTGCAACATACCCAGCAAAATTAAAAATCTCTTCTTTCTTCGTTAGTGGTGGCGGCCATGGGAAGACACTTGCTAGCTCCTTTACTGATACTGAACTTCATCTTGTACATCGTCATCATCGGCTTCGCTAGCTGGTGCTTGAATCACTTCATTAATGGCCAAACCAATGTTGGCGGTAAGCTGACTTTTTCCTTGCACTTTACTGCTTTAAACTGCTTGCTGTTTTATTATGTTAGCTTTTTTAAGTTGTTTTTTAGCAAAGATTGATTTTTTATAACTACACCAAACAATTAATTATTATATCCAACAGTCATGAAATCTTAATTTCATTATTCCAAAAACCAGGGGTGACGGGCAACGGAGCAACGTTCTACTTCCTAGTCTTCGCGATCCTCGCCGGAGTGGTGGGCGCGGCGTCCAAGCTCGCAGGAGCGAGCCACGTGCGAGCATGGCGAAACGACAGCCTCGGGGCAGCGACGGCGACGGCCGTCATCACGTGGGCGATCACCGCGCTCGCGTTTGGCTTGGCGTGCAAGGAAATTCATTTGGGTGGTTACAGAGGGTGGAGGCTGAAGGCGCTTGAAGCCTTCGTTATAATAGCGTGTTTCACGCAGCTGTTGTATGTTCTATTGCTGCATGCGGGGATGGTGAGTGGCAAGTATGGGCCGGCGTATAGAGATCGGGACTATGGTGGGGCTACGGGTGTGGATAAGGGGACGAGGGTTTAGGGTTTCTGGAAGGGGAGTGGGAGTGGTGTGATTTGTGTGTGGTTGTTGAATGGTGCTTTTCTTTTCTTTGGGAGATGATGATGATATGTTTTAATGATGAATGTGTGCATATGCCTTTTTTTTTAATAATTGAAGGTGTGTAAATGTGGTTGATTAAGTAAGGTGAATGAATGATGTGCATTTTGACATAATGTTAGAATGGTGGAATTTTAAATGAATAGTGCATATTAATGATTTTGTTTTATATAAAAAAGAATGAAAATAAACACATCCAATAATATTTTTTAATTTATTATCTAATAGACTTATGTTGTATGTTATTTTATATCATAAAATAAGGTTGAATGCATAGAACCTAAACTCTTGACTATGGTTAGAGCAACCCAACAATGTTTGCTTGGTTTGATACCCATGACATTGTATAAACCATACTAAGGGATTATAAACCTAATGAAGAATAATGCTACTTTTTCTAATGCTCTTTTGATACAATGGTTAAATTTTTATTATATATATGTTACGTGATAAATGATCTTAGAATTAGCAACTAAACAAGAAAATGCTTATAAAAAGCAAGTATAAATGAAACTTCAACATAAATTATATAATATTATAAAAATAGTTTGTAATAAATGAACTTGACATAATTTTTTTTTTAACATATAAATGATAAGATTTTGGGTTATACATTATAAACAATGCTAAGGATAAGTTTTATAACATGTAAAACTTATCAAGTTATCATGGTAGAATAACATATCATATTGTTCAAAGATTATTTAAATTGGTGTGCTCATTGTTTTTATGAAAAATTATGAGCTTTAAATTTTTAGAGTATTATTGCAATACACAAACATCAAGCATTTTCATATCTAACATGTCAAATGATAAACCATCACTTAGTTATGTCATTATTTTTAAATTTATTTAATTTGATAAACAATTTTATTTGCAAGATTAGAATCAAATAAGCATCTTTGTATTAGTGAGTATTTGGTAAGAATTTTATAATAGATATAACCTAGTGCTAATTTTATCATGAAAAGCTAGTTTTTATAAATAAATTTTGTTATATTTCACATAACATTTATGCTGAAGAAATCATACAACCACATGGATCGGTCTAAAATTGAGAAATTTATATAGCCCGTAATCGGAGCGAAGGTATTTGCAATATATTAGTATTAAGAAGAATTTAACGATATTAATTGTCATGTCGCATGAGGACCTCCACTATGAACGCAATGTAATATAGATGGGTGTGATTTAGTTAATTAGATATATATTTAAACATCTTTTATAGTATACTACACATAAGGTGATGAAACTCAAAAAGCTAAATTCACCCGAAGAACACTTTTAGGATAATTTACAATAATTTAATAAAATCAATCAATTATATTAAGTGAATTTTTAAAATATATCTAAAATTATTTAAAATGTACCCAAAATTTCTCTTCCAATTTTTACTTAAAATATGGCCACAAAATTTTGCTAACTCTACTTAGGGTGGCGGTGCGGTGGCAGTGCGACATTGTACCTTAGTTTTGACTGTTTGAGTATACTCTTTTCAAAAAAAAACTGCCGCTGAAATCTTCGTTTTCCCATCACTCATGGCTAGTTGTTATGACAGTTTTCTAGCTATAGTCCCACAAATAACTTACTCGCAGTAGATAATCGCCTAAGTAGAAACTATGCTGGGCCAATCGAGTTGGAGAAGCAAGAGGGCTTCTCCTCGGGACATGTAGGATGATGCGGTTATCCATTCAAGTTCTTAGCATGGAGGCCTTGTTAATTATGACTTCGGTGAAAGTCATGCTATGAAACTCATTTAAAATCTGACCCGTATGTCATGCATGAAAGTAAAGACAAATTTTAAAATTACTGAATCTTTTAATTATAAATTTTAAATTAATTTTAAATTGTCTTAAAATTTTTTTATGATTTTGTAGAAAGTTTAGAAATTTTTTATGTCCTAAAAAACCTAAGTGATCCGCACCCAAAAAAAGGCAAAACTGACAATCACAAGCAATACCACAGCAAAGCAAACAAGTTAAGTCAAAAGAATAAGAAAAGATTGGTGTCACTGAGTCTGCAAAATATCCCATAAATTGAAAAATGAGGTCAGTCACCTCATAAGTACAGACTTGATCCTAAATATATACGTAAATGAGATGTAGAAGAAAAGTACGAGACACGAGCAAGCAGCTTCTAGTCCTTATCGTGTGATTATGCCCACCTGACGACTTAGAATCCATGCACATACCTATTTCAAATACAAGGCTCTCCTAATAACTCTAAAAAGTACATATAGGAAAGTAAAAAATGACTCAACCTATATGAAAATAAGGTTAGTATAAAAAGCTATCTACATGCAACGTATGTGAGCCATGCCTGGCGAGAGCAGCACCTGCAGAAAAAAGTCAAATCATTCAAATCATTATTTGCTTCCCCCAGTTACATGTATGTGTGTGTTTTAGGCATGACTCCCTACAAAAAGAGTACCCCTAACGTATAAGTGTGCAGTCTCACACCCAATAAACACACAAAGCAACAAAAAAGTGATCTATGGCTATGGAAATTAAACCAACATAGAACTATAGCTAGAACATTGAAAAGACTATCTAGCATTCTAATCCTTAGTCTAGCTCACCATCTAACGTAGAGTGTCCCATCACAACATTTAAGTTAGTTCAAGGTTAAGTCAGAAGGCTAGCATATGATTTGATAGGGTCGTCGTCTTCGACTCCATCTTAAGGATCCAAGGATTCTAAGAGGTGTCAATCGATGCAAGTTTTTAAATAGGCTTAAGCTTTAAAAGACAAACCTTACATATGGTCTAAGCTAGGGATGAAAGTAATTTCAAAGTATATTTTGAGAATATGATTCATAAAGTAAAAAAATATATGTAAATTTTTATACTTTTAAAATAATTTCTAATAGAGAAAAAATCAAGTGACACCTATTAGCCCTCTTGAAATCTTAACACAACATATGCATCATAGTCATGGTGTGATAACGAATATTGCCCCACTAAGGCATCCTCGTAGGCAATATTTGCTAAGACTTCATGACCAACAAATGGTCACTCTGATAACAAGGCAGATTTATTATCAGGACAACCACAAATGCACATGAAAATGTAGAGTGGTCTAGTGCATCATGATAGCTCCTTCGGAGCGGGAGTGATCGTGAGATAACAAACCTTTGTTACGAGTATATGGTGAGATACACCCTTGACGAATGCATTGCTAATGCGGAAATGCAAATGCAAAACTTAAAACATATGACACACATGACATACCGAAGGTGGTGTCATGGGCGACATAGCTTGCACATTGAATGGAGTTAGAGTCCTTTGTAACATGATCTATACTAGGTGGTAGCTATGTGCCCACGTGAACACACATTTCATGCTTGGAGGAGTCAGAGGCTTTTGGAGCATGATCTCTACCAAGGGATTCGATGTAGCATTACTACGGTAAGTGTGAGTGATATCATAGAAGAAGAGATGATGTAAATGAAAGGTGTACAACAAGAGTGAAATGGTGTATTTCTCGCTATAGAGAAACACACGCATGGTAGGCTTGATGTGCAAGCCATCCTCGATTAGGATATGTGAATATCCAAGATGAGTGTGCGTAGAGCAGTGAAAAAGGAATAGACAAGTTGGTGTGTGAATGTGTATGCCTGGAGTAGTGACTCAGAAAAGACTAAGACAGTCCAAAGTGGTACCATAAGAGGTGAAGAAATTTAATCCTCGGTGGAGAGAACTACATATCAGATGGACTTAGTGGCAATCCCTCCATGACACAAATTTTTCAGTATCCATAGCAAGTATGTGAGGACAGTGACTCAAGTAGGCTCAAACATGCAGTGAAGCAACATGCAAAATGTCACACAAGAGTTGATGCAGCCGTCGGCTGAGTCGATGCAACCGATCGACTGATCTTGATTAGCTTTAGGTCGGTAGTGTTGGCTCAGTCGACTAGACTTTACCGATTGATTGGTCCAATTTGACTATCGACTACCAATCCCTAGATGAGAAGTTCCTGTCGGTTGAATGAGAATAGACTATCGAGTGGAGAGGGTGGATCACTGTAACTCAATACATAGCTCATTCCTTGATTAGGAACGTCATTCCAGATGATTGTGAGGTCCATTGCATTGCTAAATATTGTTCTTTGATGAGTAACCTCGTGGGTGTCCGTGGGATGGATGATAATGGCGAGGGATTGAATTATTTTCTAGTGTTGGATCTATCAAGAAGTAGTCAATGCGTTCACTTCACTTCCAGTGGTGGTTAGCTTAGGTGCTGATCAGTTTGTTCAAATTCGATCAGTCAAACTTGGATCGTTCATTTTGTCCTTCTCCTAGCTTGGTTGACTTTGTCATTGGCTCGAATGACTGCATCCAATCGAGTAAGTGAAGCCTCTTAGTCTCCTGTCGGCGGGCCTTATTTATTAAACTTCATTTATGGACTATTGGATCTTCTTGGGATTTATGCTGACACATTCTTGATGTAAACTATAAAAAATTAAAGAAACTTATATTTCAATTACAAAAATAAAAAAAAAATTGAACTAAATATACCTTTTACTCTAACTTCTAGTTTTTTTTTAAATAATACATTTTAAAAACCTAGTGCTTGATAACTATGATCCTTATTATTTCATTTATTAAATTTTTTGTTTTATAAAATAAAATAGATTATTTTAAAGTTAAAAAAAGGCTTTTGAATAAATACATGCAATTCTCATGCATTTACATCTAAACACCTAAATTTTATATTTACACATATAATACTTAATTCTTTAAGATCATATTAAATAAAACATAATTTTTAGCTTTTTTTTTAATAAAATATATTTTTTCATGCATAAAGTTATGCATCAAACATATCAAAAATATAAATATTAAACTTTAAACGATAGATATATAAATGCAAAACAATTGTGTCCCAATTCTCAATTTTATATTAAGGGCCATTTTAATCTTAGGGTTTATAAAAATAATATATCATCTACAGAATCTAAAGACGTTTTAAATTAGGGATCAATTTAAAATAATGAGCGAATATTTTACCTCTTCTAAAAACTATAGGATTAAAATAATTCAATATATCTATTTATGGACTATTTTGTCAACCTAAAAAAAAATATATATAATAAAAAAATAAAAATAGTCTTTCAGCTAGCTATAAAAAATAAGGATTTTTATCGTTTCCATTTTAGCCAGTTGTTAACGAAGCGCAACATCTGTTTCCATGCTCTCCATCTGGCGAACCGGCTCCTTTTCTCCTCTAATGGACTCCAGAAGCACCCGATCGTCCTCTTCCTTTAGTCTTGATCGCTTCTCCATAAACCCCACCTGATCTTCTCACAATTTTCTGATTCTCTCTTTAGAATCTGCGAAGCCATATAGAACAGGGCATCGAAATGACGACCCTGGATGACCTCCTCGCCGAGGATGGATTCGAGAGGGGGAGAAGTAAGCCGAAGTCGTGGCCGAGGGGCGGTATCGACGGGTCGAGTACTACGAGCTTGTCTAGCTTGCTTCTTGGTTCTCCTGTCTCCGAAGTCCGGCCTGCGAGGACGAGGTTGGATGTTAACTGTCGGAGATCTCTTTCGGCGGCGTCGGAGAAAGTCGGGCCGAAACAGCCCATGCAGAACAATGGCGCAGGTTTCGGGCGTTTGCTTGAACCCAATGGTAGGACATTTAGCTTTTGTAATGCACTTGAGAAAGTCGATGGGAGCCCTGGCAATAGTCATCGGAGTTCGTCGACTATCGAGGCTTCTAATGTGGATTGCAAAGCGTCCATGGTTCTGGAGTCGAAACTGAGATATAATAGGTTTTTGAGGAATAACCTGTATGAGAATGAGGAGCCGAAAAGTACGAAGGCCCAAATTTCTCAGGCGAAGCCTAGTTGTGTTAAGGATGCTAGGTTTGGCTGTCCCATGCCTGCACTGGACAACGCTACGCGGAAAGCAATGGCTTCAATGTTAAGCAGTTGCGTTAATCAAATCCTTAATGATGAAAATTTACGGTCATCTTTGCATCAAGCTTGTGTTTCTTCACTGAAATCGACCTGGGTGCAGTATAGACAGTCTAAGGAAAATGGGGTGATATCTGTTCTTGTAGAAGCAATTGAAGCAGTAGAAAAAATAATAGCTCAGGGTCCTAATCAATTTGAACTGAAGAAAGCTTTTGTTATGCTGAGCGTTATCTGCGGCTTGAAGTCTATGGAATCGGATAATGAACATGCCTCTGGGATCCCAAGCTCACATCTTGCTGCTTGTGGCCATCTCTATCTCAGCATTCTTTACAAGATTCAGAAGAAGGATAATATTTCTGCAATGCATCTTCTGCAGGTTTTCTGTGATTCTCCATACCATGCTAGAAAAACTCTGCTCCCAGAACTCTGGAACCACCTGTTCTCATCAAATGTTTCTCATTTGAAGGCATGGTATGAGAAAGAAGAAATATCTATTCCAGTAACATCTGGTGTGATGATGAAGGCTGAGTTTATGGAGAAAGTTTATAATGATGTTGTGGATATGGTTACCTCTCAATTTGCAGCTTACTACAAGGGTTGGCTGATGGTGGACAACAATGGCTCTGCATTGCCTTCCATTCGGATCCCTTTTGCTCCTGTTTCTGATGTAGAAGTTGATGCTGATGAGGTTGTTTCATTAAAATCATTTAATTCAAGCAAATCAGTTCCTTCTAGGACTATGATTAGCAAAAAACTATTTGATTTGAGTCAAGCGAAGACAGATAAAACAACAGATGAAATGGAAAGTAGGGAGGAAAATGAGGTGGATGAGGTATGGGATGAAGCTGAAGAGAGGGAAGCAGATGCTTGGATAAGAAAGTGTGATGAACTCGCTCAAAAAGATAATGAAACTGGCAGCTGCTTTACAGAGTCGGGCGGATATGAAACAGAAAGTTCTCAAGAATATTATGATGCATGTTCTAAACTTTCGGCTTCATCTTTTGAAGTGAGTGATATTATCCATATCTCGATTTTGTTTGATTTTTTTATAGTATTTCTCAGTTTTTCAAGTATGACGCTCTCAAAATGTTTAGTGCAGGAAGATACAACATTGATACTCTTTTGTTAAATGTTCATCTCTGTGCATATGATGTGGGGTGAAGTTTTTGTTATATATATATTTTTTCTATTTTTGGGTAGTTTTAGTTTACTTGGTGTTTGTGATGAAGTTATGATCTATTAACATGATTGTGTAAAAGCTAGCTTTGAGAATAAAATATAAGGAGAAAATTTGTCAAACTGGTCCCCAGACTCTTTTGGCCAAATGTCAATTTAGTCCCCAAAAATAGAAGACTATTTTAGCCCCTATTAAAAAAAAATTTAGGATTAATCTAACACTTCTATAGAATTTGGGCCTAAAATGACCTCAGGCAAATAGTCAGGGGACTGTTTTGGCACTTTACTTAAAATATAACTAACTATTTTGTTGTTACGAGGGAAAAAACTTAAGTTTAGATATTTTACTCGACGCAGTGCTGTGGTTTTTTCTTCCATCTTTTGGCAACTTAGACGTATATAGATTGATTGAACTGCGGTGATTTTGGTGAATAGGTAGTGTGAGAAGATGCTTCATTTATTCTCCCTCTCCCTTCACAAAAATTACTTGTGGCATCAGTGGTTCAGACTATGGAAATTGATGACATTACATTGCTTGTTTTGGTGTTCAGTGTTTTTCTTCTTAGTCATTACTTGTTTTGGTGTTGAATGTTTTTCTTCTTAATTTTTTTAATCATTGTTGATCTAGTGAAAATTATTACTCGAGTTAACAGACTATAGTTGGAAGATAAAATAAGCCAAAAAATGTAATTTAATGCCTAGGATTTAATGAAAATTTTGATAAAGCACTCCTTAGATGCTTAGAAAGTGAATAAAACATGGCAAAAATTTTTATTGTATTTTGAACTCAATCTTAAAGCCAAACTTTTTTTGGTGAATATTTGCCCCTCTCCTCATTTCTTTAATTTTTTTTTGCACGTTATATATGGATCCACTTGTAAGCAATTAGCAACGTAATTATTGAAATATTATTACAGATTACACCGGAAAATGACCGGATGATAGAAGACCGTTGTTGCTCAAGCAGCTTAGACTTCCTTGAGGCTGAAGAAATCAAACACAAAAGTAAAATGGTTTGTTATTCTGATGACAACATAAGACATATTCTTGTTAGAAAGTGTGATTCTGAAGAAAATAAAAATGGATTCAAGCTGGCTAAAGCAGCCTTTCAGTTACAGGCTGCTGATGATTCTAATGAAGCAAATACCCATACCTCAAATCTTCTTATTGATTCACCAGTTTACAATTCAGAACAAGATGAGGTGTCAAAATTTTCCATATTTATTCTTCCCGCCAAAATCGGTCAAAATGCCATTTTTATTAACTTGGTTACATGCTTTTTTATTGGGGCTTTTACTTGCATGCCACTCAATTCTTATGTATTTATGTATATAACACCTATACTTTACCTTTTACATTAATATCACCCAAATCTTTTATATCACATTAAAAATACCACAATTTTAACTTTTAAAAAGTGAAGTATATATTTTCTTGCATAGATAAGGTGGCATGCAAGTAAAAATTAAAGTTTAGATGTTAGATATGTAAAGACATATAAATTGTTTGGTATCTATGTAAATGCCCCTTTTTTATTTTGATCTCAGATGACCGAATTAACACGTACAAAACTTGTACTGGATGAAACTGACTCCGCCAATGAGTTTTTTAGTTCAGGCTCTTTGAAGGAAAGGTCCAGGTGCGCCCTACTGCCATAGTTCATGCTTTTGAATTTTTTTTGCACGCATTCTTAGTGATACATTTTTCTTGAAAAGTGTCTTTTGGGGCATTTACATACATGCCACACAATTCTTATATCTAACACTTAAACATTCATATTTACATGTATACCACCATTATTATCTTTTTAAAAATGAAATACACCTTTTCATGCACAGTTTATGTCTCCAAGATGTTATAAGCGTAAGTATGAAACTTTGCATGCTAGATATGTAAATATATAAGAATTGTGTGCTATGTATGTAAAATTTTGATTGTCTTTTGGGTATTTACATACATGATGCACTATTCTTATGTATTTACATGTCTAACAATTAAACATTCATATTAACATGCATGCCACAATTATTATCTTTTTTTTTTAAAGTGAAATACACCTTTCCATGCAAATGTCTTGGGATTATAAGTGTTAATATGACACTTTTGAGTCCTAGATATGTGAATATATAAATTTATGTAAAATTCCCTTTTCTTTTGGGGCATTTACGTACATGCTACTCTATTTTTATGTATTTACACATCTAACATCTAAACATTTATATTTACATGCATGCCACCATTAATATATTTTTAAAATTGAAATACACCTTTTCATGCATAGGTTTATGACCCCAAGGTGTTTTAAGTGTAAATTATATAAGAATTGTGTGCTATGTATGTAAACTTCTCGTCTTTTGGGTCATTTACATACATAGATATCTAACACCTAAACATTCATATTGACATGCAACCACCTTTATTATCTTTTTAAAGGCGAAGTAAACATTTTCACGCATATGTTTAAATGTTTGTGTTTGTTCAGCTTTCCTGTTTAAGAATTGCGATCTCACTTCCCCCTCTTTGTTTTTCTTCCTGGTTCACCTTTTCAGGGATATTTTTAAAGAAAATTGCCAAGATTCTTTCTTTTCTAGAATTCCGGAAGAGTTTATCTGTCCTCTGACCGGGCGGTTATTTAAGGAGCCCGTGACATTGGAGAGCGGGCATACTTTCGAACTAGCGGCTATCAAAACTAGATTTAACCAAGGCAATAGAACCTGTCCTATAACTGGACAAACATTGAAGTGTCCGCTTATTCCCGATACGAATACGGTGTTAAAACACTTGATCGATGAGTGGCTCGCGAACTGCTTCAGAAACTCCATTTCTGTTGCCTCACAAAGCACGTTCAGCACATCGAAACCAGCTCGTAATGACAGATTTGGCTTGTCTTTAGTAATCGTTGACCAGATATTGAGCGGTTTTAGCTTAAAGGAAGAGAAGGAGAACGTCAAACGTCTTATTTTTTTAGGAGGTCTTCAATTTCTTATTAAAATGTTGGAAGTGGGGAGTTTGGAAGAGAGATCTCGTGTGGCTGAGCTTTTAGTTAAGTGTATTCAGGCTCACGGAGGCTGTAGGAATCACTTGGCAATGAAAATAAGCAAGTCTGCTGTGCTTAACCTCATTCATAGTAAGGAAGTTCGTGCAAGAGCCCGTGCTGTTTGGCTTTTGATAGAATTGATCTGTTTGCACAGGTTTGTGAGTTATAATTATCTTCATTTTGCAAAAGTTTTTGGGGCATTTACATACATACCGCCAAATTCCTATTTATTTACATATATAACCCCAAAGCTTTCTTTTTACGTTTATACCACCTAAATCTTCTATATAACATCAAAATAGCACCATTTTAACTTTTAAAAAGTGAAATACACCTTTTCATTCATGGGCAAGATGTTATGCATGCAAAATAGTGAAATTTAGGTGTTAGATGTATAAATACCTTGGAATTGAGTGGTGTGTGTTTAAATCTTCCAAATATTTGATACTTAATAAACATCATTGTTGGGCAAATAGATTTTTTTTATTACTTTTTTGAATGTCTGGAAATAACAAAAAGATTCAAGTGGATCTTGAAATGTTTGCTGGAGGATTTCTCATAAAGGGCTGAGTATATTGCACATTATCATTGTCTTCAAAATATATTTTTTCTAGTGTATAAGGAATCTAGTTCTCATATCTAACTCCCCAGTTCCTGGATTAATATATATTTTTTATTTTTCATAAATGTATTTGGTATGATCGTCTTGATTGAATAGTAGCTTTTCTTTGGTTCATAAATATATTTTTCACTTTCCTTTCTATTGGAATTCATGCCTGATAATTGCCTTATTTAATAGTAGCTTTTCTTTGGTCCTTAAAAGTACTTTGATTTAGATTCATAAGTAGTCTTCTCTAACATATCTTCAACTGTTCCCATTTGGACTTTTGGATGCCAACAGAAGGGTGGATAGCTTGTCTTTCTTCAGTGCATTGAAAACGGAGGATATTGATAACACCAAGCGTGAGCTTCTTTTGTGCCTTCGGAGCTCTCTGCCTGAAGAAAGAGTGCTTATTGCAGTTCTTCTTTTACATCTTGATCTTATGGTAAGCTTTCTTTATTTGTTCTTCCTTCCAAATGTTTCACTCAGCACCAAGAATATTTGAGAGCTGTATTCATTAGACAAGAACATTGGAAAGCAACTTGGGGGTTGTTTGGTTTTTTGGCATTAATAGAGCGCTGTGAATAAAATACAGTGAATTTACAAATTGGCGTTTATTTGAATAAAAATGGAATGGGGTGTAAAGTTCTGGTGAATTTAGAGTTCACCATTCAATTGGCGTTTATAATCACATACATTTATTTTATATTTAGGGGCTGTTTGGTTTGCTGAAGAATGAATGAAATATAAAAAAAAGAGTGTGATTGAAATACTTTGAAGTTGTTTTCTTTGATTTAAAATTAAATGCAGGAATTTCCATGGTTGTGTTTGGTTTGAAGAAAAACAAAATTAATGTAAAATATGCCTGGCAAAAGCTGCAGCGGCTACCGGTGGGCGGCGACATGCAGAGGGTAGCAGCTGCTAGCAACCATCAGTGGCCATGGTGGGCGACTGACTGTGATTGTGGTGGGCAACGGTCCACAGTGTGCTATTGGTTGCAGTGTCGGGTGGGCCACTGTGATTGCAGAGATAACAATCTACAATTTATAGTATATTTATAAATTGTTCAAATCTAACGAATTTGAAATACAACAGTTTTGAACTACCGGGTGAATTCCAAATTCGTTAAATTTTACAATGCATTTCTTTTTCATCTAACCAAACATCAGAATTTTGAGAACTCAGAGCCAAATAGCCCCTTTAACCAAAATGAACTATTAAAAATTCCAATCCCACTACATTTCAATTACACTCTTCCTTTTTCAGCAAATCAAATGACCCGTTAGTGTGTTAAATTTGCAAGGTTATGAAAACATTGGGAACATGCAAAAAGTTATTTTTATCATAAATAAATTCAGCTGTAGTGTCATAATTTACATCATTTTCATCAACGGGCTCATTTGGTTGGTTGTATTTACACAATAATTTGAAGCACGCGAGAGTATCAATCTTGTCAATTGATAACATGGGAGGCTGCTGTAAGCTAACTCCCTGAGTCTCATTTATTTATTTGTGTTCATTGCCCGATGGATCAATAACCTATCTTCAATGCATTGGTGGCAAAGGCCAATGAATTAGAAGCAATTCATCTATAATTAGTTGATTGCCATGATCTAATTGTTTGGTTGGACTGGATGGTGGAGATGCACCAATAGTGGAAAACTAAAGGCAAATCAAATGTGGCAGATCTTTATCGGCTATCAAAGAACGATTGTCATATGGAAGTCTGACAATAGCTAGTAAAATTTGGTTGAAAAAAAGATTTTAAGTATCAAAAGTTATTGAATCGCTAGTGGTTAACTTTGAATTGGCTAATTGGTTAGCCAACCAGCATTGGTCCATTGATGTATCACAGTTGACTGACTAGTGGTCAATTGTTATTGTCCGTGGCTAATTCAACTCCATTAAAATAGTAGTTTGTTTGTTGTCATTATCTATTTGTTTGTTTAATACTCTTCTAACCATCTGTGCTATGAAATTTAGGTAAATCTTGTTCAGGAGGACGAAACTAAAGGGGTATTGGGAATTGGGCTAAATAGACAATTTGTCAAGTTTGTTTGTAATTTAAAAGTTTAAGCCATAGGTAAAGACCAATCATTTTTTATTTTTAAACCAACTTATTTTTGAACAGTTCAATCTGATCTACAATCTCTCCCTCACGTGAGAGCACTCCACTTTGATCATCACTCCCCTATAAATAAATTTTTTTTTTTTGAGATCTTTGAGGTTCATGCACCAAAGGGTCACTTAATTACGTAGATGTTTTGTCATAATCGGCTGCTCTTCGGCCTTGTTCGACCAAAGGTAGGTAAATCTTGTTAGGGAGGGAGAAGCTGAAGGGGTATTGAGAATTTAACTAAATAGACAACTTAGAAGTTTAAGCCATAAGTAAAAAACCAATCATCTTTTTTTATTTTTAAACCGACATATATTTCAACAATTCAATATGATCAAATCCAAGCCTCACATTTCTTAACAATCTCTCTTTCACGTGAGAGCACTCCATTTTGATCAGCACTCTCCTTTATGCACAATATATACTCTCCTATATACACAATATATATATCTATATATATATATATATATATATATATATGAAGATATATTTGGATATCATGAGCCTTGTTAAAAGCCATGGCATGGATGGCCGAGATTTATGGAAAATCACTAATCAACTGAATCACTCGATATCAGCCAGACTACAACTCTATTTTCACTTTTTAAGGGGCATGAAACTACAGAGGGAACATGAGTTAGGCTTATGTTGATGTAGAAAATGTTTCATTTGAGGTACAATGTGATTGATGTTGAGTGTTCTTATATAATGAGAAGATTATTAAGCGACGTAAGACTTGTATTTAGTCTAACATTGGAGTTGAAAAATATGTTGATGTAAAAATACAATTGACTGGGCCTACTCATAAATTTAAGTTTTTAGGTCGATAGTAGTTTGAAAACTATTGTATAAAGCACCCTTGTTATTGAGATATGGGGATAGTTTCCCTACTAACAGTTTTTTGTTTTTCATGCATTCCTAAAAGCTGTATTTAATATCTACAAATATGTTATACCTAGTACCGAATGCCTAGCCCCTACAAAATTATTGACTAGAATCTATAAGCATTATATAATTGGATGATTGCATGGTGTTCAAAACCATCCCGTGTTCATTGCCTTCATTTAATTTGGTGTAGAGACAAATACAGAGTGTTGGTTGGTGAAATGACCAGAAAATGGTAGTTATCTATGTCGGTGTCATGCAGATGAATTCTTTGTTAGGTGGTCAACAAGATTTTTTGACACTAGAGGTGGTAGGCTTTCCTCTGTATTTGTTAAGCTTAGCTGATGGAGGAATCATACTTTGTTTCCAAAAGGGAATCCTGAAGAGAGAGAGAGAGAGAGCACTACTACTAAGATAAAAGTGAAAAAATATTTGAATACTTTCTTTATCTCCTGTCAACTTGAACAACCATCTCTCTATTTCTCTATAGAAATAGGTCTTGTACCCTTCATTGCAAGTTACTTTATTTCCTCGATCACATTACGTCATTTTGACTTTTGGATGCAGACTTTCCCCTTACACACTTGGCGTTTATGTATTGGTCCTAATCGTTGGCTACTAGCCAGTCATTTTCCTTCATGCTGTTAGCTACAATAGCTGCTGATCTATCGCATAATCTTCCCATGACCATAAGTGAACATTATAATGCAAAACCGTAAGAACTTGTTAACTATAGAAGGATCACTTATAGGTGTCTAATTGCTAATTATTTTAAAGTATAATTAGATTTAAATGATGCTCTGCCAAGCAAAGCAGTTAAACGCCTTCATAAGATTACAATCATTCAATTAATAATTCACTTTAATAACTTCTTAACTACGGTAAAATTGCTTCAGGTCATATGATTTCTAATTGCTCTTGAGAATCATTACAGTTAAACTACGCTAAACCAATCCATAGAGTTGCAAACCTTCATAAGATGAGAAAAATCCAAGTAAAGTTGAATTGGAGTAACATTTCGAACGTTTTAAAAAATAAGGTTTACAATTTATGTGAATTTGATTTCTATTTAACGAAATCATTCTTATAGTGAAGCCAGCTTATCAATGCGTATTGAACTGTATTCTTTTGGTGATTTAAATGGACCGATTTGATTCTGCATTTTTTATTAGGAAGATTTACATACATATCTCTCAATTCCGAATAATTTGAATTTATTCATGCATAATACACATATATATGTTTAGGCCCACTATAAAACTTCTACCAGGCCAGCTATATTACTTGGATGCTATTTGTGGGTTATAAGAACGCTAATAGCTAAGTTGAGCATAACCAAGATAAAAATATTGAGATAGCCGTGTCACAAAATAGGAAAGATAAATTAGCGGGTAATTATATTACTAAAATAGATGTAGGTGATTTGGACGTGTAAAATGTAATGTAAAGATGTGTCCCTTAGACAAGGTGATAAAATTAGTGCTGTTGGATTAAAAATAAATATGAGTAGATCTTTTGTAACATTGCAAGTATAGGTTTGACATCTCATAGAAAACTAAGCATGACATATTTCACGTGTGTACATTTTACATTTGTTGTATGTTATTGAAAACTATCATTGTCATGACAAAAGGCAGACTTGCAATTTGTACTAATATCATAGGCGATCATTACATTCTCATAAACCTTTCGTATACCGCGCTACATTATGTAAACTCAAGATGATAAATATTTGTCAGGATGAATCCCGGAAGTATAGTGTTTACAAAGAGGAGGCTGTGAAGTGCATTGTGAAAGCGCTTGAGTGCTGTCTGTTCAGTAAGAAGTTTATACCAAATTGTCAAAGGGCCCTCCTCATGCTCACCGGTCATTTCTCCTTTACTGGGGAGATGATCATTGAGTCTTGGCTGTTGAAGAAAGCTGGATACATTTGTAAAAGTTGCAATGATGAGGATGATCGAACAATATCAGAGGTATCTTGCTACTTTTTCACACCGTTCTTTTTGTTCAACTTACAAATTGTTCTATCATGATTTATTTATTGAAACATTAGGTAAATGCATACATCGTTCTGTCGTGATTTATTTATTGAAAATTGATACATTCTTTAACAGCATAAATCCTCACTAAAAGATACATCATTGATTCTACATAAAACTCACTACTCGAATATGTTCCAACTCTGGCAAAGCAAATTATGAAATCACATGTTGGAAGATTTTAGGGGCATTTACATACAGAGCGCACAAGTCTAATGTATTTACATATCTCATAACGAAACATTCATGTTTACACACATAGATCTCAAATATTTAATATCTTATTAAAAATAGCATCTTTAACACTTTTCAAAAGCGAGATACACATTTTCATGCATAAGTTTAAATCACCAAGTGTTATGTACGTAAATATGAAAGCTTAGGTGTTTGATATGCAAATACATAAGAATTGTGTGCTCCGCATGTAAACTTCCCTTTAGAATAATACAACTTATCATTCTTGGAATATGTTTGCCGAAATAATTTATCTAATAAGTTAACTTCATTGGATTTTATTCAAAATTGAGTTTTACTTAATTTAGGAAGAATCAAAGATGAAAGAAGAGTGGTTGAAGAGCATGGCTTCGGTCCTTCTTCATTATGGAAAGAAGTCGTTCGAGAAGACTCTTTCCAAGTGTTGGAAGAACGGAGACCAAGATCTGGCGAGAGTGTGCACTGTCACTGCCGCATGGCTAAGCCATGCGCTTCCTTCTCTGTCTGTTCCTGCATTACAGCTCTCTGCTTTTTGGGCTTTCATGCCAAGGCTGAAAGAATGCTTGAAAATTGATCTGGATATTGAGCTCAAGGTGTTTGCTTCCTTCAGTTTTCTCAACTTCAGCAAGATTTTGGGTAAGCATCTAAAACAAAGTGAAATTTACATACATACCACACAAATTTCATTATTTACATACTGGACACCTAAAGTTTGATATTTATATTTATAATACTCTGATGTTATGAACCTATGCATAAAACAGTATATATTTCACTTTTTAAAAAGTTAATAATTATAATATTTTTGATTTGATGTTAATGATTTTAGTGATCTTTATAAATATAAAAGTTTATGTTTTAGATATGTATATATATAAAATTTCCACAAAAAATGTACCATCTTCATACGCGTCTAGATTAAAGCCTCAACATTCAATTTGACAAATTAGATCCTACAAAAGACTGAAGTAATGAAAATTCTTGCTTATTAATGTAGTCATTATTTTAAATATAACAGTAAAAGCCGGGCGAGTATCATAAAGCATTTTTAGGAATAAAAGCATGGTTAAGTTCTTTCTACTATTACAGCTTACCGTATAAAATCTCTTGTGGCGAGCACATAAGGTGTGAAAACTTTAGCCTGATGCTTTCAAAATTAGATAATTGACAATGCGTTAAATTGAGTAATGCAGTCTTTTTTCAGGTCGTATATGCTCTCTCTCTCTCTATATATATAGGCACACCCACACAAACACATGCGCTCCCACACATGAAAACTGAAAAATCTCCTTTTTCTGTATTTTTGAATGCAGAATGTAGGATCCCTCTCTTAACATTTGCAGATGAGATCCATGATCCTCTCAAGCGCCTAAAACAGGTTACTTGGACGGCCAACCATCTTTACAATGCCATCTTTGGTGAAAACTCATGATATATATATATACAAACACACAAATTCGTTCTGTAAATTTAAAGCATAGTTTTGCAATGCAAATATGAATAAAGATACCATTCAAATAGCTTATAGGACAGATTGTAAGATTCTTGTACACTGTATAATTTGTATTCCGTCTTGTCTGTTTACGAGTTCATATCCATTTTCACTTTTCTGGATGTATTTGTCACCATGATTTTCTTAGTGTAGTAAAAGGTGCTGAAATACACAAGCAGGATTTTTCCCTTTGTTGTATAAGATTGAAAACAGTTCATTTACTATTTCTTAGAATCGTAAAATGCATGTGAGGTGTAAAAAATTGACCAGCAATATAAACTCACTCAAATTTGACTAAAAAATTTTTGGATTTGGCTTGGCGCAGATAAATTTCAAGTCAGATTTGAATTATGAATCTTAAATTGTTTAATTTTTCAAGAGGGGGTTTGGCAACCACCCCCTTGAATTTCGAAGTTTAAACTAACAAGAGTGACACTTCTTTGTCTTTTGCCCTTCTTAAAATATTATTTTGCCCCCTTACGTTGCCATTGCCTCCTCTTCCACTCTTGCACAAAATGGTAGCAAAATCTTGGCGGAGCACAAGGCAAGACGGCGATTAGGAAGGAAAGTTGCATTGAAGGATGGAAGCGCTTCGAGGAAGAGGAGATTCTTGCCAAGAAAATGACTGTTAGTGTGGTGGCATGGTTAATGGAGGAGTGGTTAATGGAGGAGTTGGCGGATAACTAACTCTCATTTGTGGCTTGATTAATTGTGAATTATTTATACGAAGCTCTAGGTTGATGGGATCAATAAATTTAACATTTTGTACTGAAAGAATGAATGATTGCTCTATTATTACACCTCCTAGTAAATTTACGTTTAAATTTTTTGTTATTCTTGTGTCTATATTACATGAGAGAAAATTGAGAAATGATCATTTGAAAAAAAGGAAGATATAATTAAATCCTACTCATTTCTAATCCATTTACATATTTAACACCTAAACTTCTATTTTTACATACATACCACCTTATATACATATCGAATGGTGTATATCACTTTTTTTGAATTAAAATAGTGGTATTTTCATGTGATATGAAAGATTCTAGTGATATAAATGTGTTAGATATGTAAATACATAGGAATTGTGTGATAATAATTGTGTGATATGATAAGGATTATCATTTCATGATCATAATGAATTGTGTGAATCAATTAATCAAAGAAATTTTTTGTAATTGTTTCATTTCCTTGTGAATCATAATGAAGAAGTGAAAAGAGTTTGCCCCCTTCAAAAAAGAGGATGCTTACGCCCAGACTCAACTTAAAATTAAACGGTTAACTTGAAATTGACTCCGGATTAAGCTGTCATTTAAAATTGACTCAAAATTGATTTGAAATTGGCTCTAAGTTGACACAAATAGCTATTATGTCTTGTGTTAAATATATTATATAGGTTTGGCTCTGGTTAGCCAGTATAAAGCAGGTTGGGTTCGAGTTCGACTAACTTATTTAATATTCGAATTAGGTATGGGTAAAATAACTTTGAGTAAGGCCAATTTTGGGTTAGAGCCAAAATTGACCTATGAATTTGGTTTGACATCTAAAAATACAAAAGAGAACATCTTCACCTGAACGTTTTTGAAAAAAATTACTTTCGTTCAATTGGTTCGTCTGTCAACTTATTAGTTGCTGCAATTATGGCCATTAGTGCATGAATATATGTCATGCCTCTCATTTATCACTTGATTAGGAGCCAGATCAACTTTTCTTTTCTCTGTGTGAGAGTAACATGCAGTTCAAAATACAAGGTTATATTTTTTTATCATTAAAGAATTAAACAATGATTACAAAATTTTCAATCTATTTTATATTGATTGACAATGATGTGTTAGGTTCATTGGGAATCAAGATAAACTCTTATTTATTAATATGCGAGATAAGATGTTCATTGTGTCAATCATCATTGATTCGACTGTGCAATCAATGATTGATAATCTTCATTGCAGAAAATGCCCTCTCAACTGTAGCAGTAGCAACAGATGAAGTTAATGCTAAGATGATAAGTTTGTAAATTAAATGATACACATAACCATTCTTTGCTTTGATAGGGTATTTTGCAAGATCAACAATGTGTCTTATTGAAGAAAAATCACCACTAGAGCACAATTGAGAGTTATAACCTCAATTGTAGAAAAATTATTAACATATAACTTTGCAAGACAAATTAGCTTTCTTTGATTAAAAGGTGACAATAAATCACTTAGATTTATATGTCCTATACAAAAAGGTAATTCAGTACTTGCTTCAGAGAAGTAGTTATTCAGCTCTTGAAGTTGTATAATAATTACGGTGTAGAACAAGTCAGTATGATAATCAAAAAGCCTTAAAGGTGGAATTCATATTTCCAATATTAATTTAAAAAGTATTGCAAACGCGAGACATTTCTTTCAATAAAGAATTTCATTCATTCTGTCACATCATTTGTAATCGTTGTTTCGATACACGCATCAAGTTTTTTTTTTACATTTTCAATGTTTTGATATTCTTTTATTATAAAGATTGTGATGATTCATTTATAAAGCCTAAAATATCAATCATTGAATGTATTATGAAGATAAATTTAATTTTTTTTCATTGTATCCATTAAAATGTCAGCTTCAATTGATTGTTAATCATGTACTTCTTTTATAAACTCTAGCATTTCAAGTATGTATATGTTTTGATGAGACTAATTAAAGTATAAAGATGTGAGCTCTAATGAGTATCTCTAGCTCATTGCGAATTAGCTTCTTGATTCAAATTACACGTGTTAATTAAATATCTTTCAAAATAAAATTCTCATGTTGAATGGTTTTAAGAGCATCACTTCTTTTGCAAGAAGTTCCAAATGTGTTTAAGATTCTTGAAGGGAACTCAAAAAGATATTTTACATGTCAATGATGTTTTGCTACAACCATCAAGTATAATTGAAGAGTATTAGCAAATTAATGAACATAGAATACTTGAGGATTATCATAAAGAATGAGTGCTTTCTAATCATTGCACTTGCCTCTCATATTATATGCACTGTCATAGCTTGAGTCATGTACTTTATATTAACTTAATGAATGCTTCGCAAGAATGAATTTAAGAGTTGTTTTGAGTGCAACTGTAGTTATTGAAAAAATATGTTTTAATAACAATAAAATTTTCAATAACTTGCCCTTTTTTATCGACATATCTTATTGTGACAACCAACAATTCTTTTGTTGACACATTACGAGATTCATCAACTATGATAGAGAGATATGAATCACTTATACCTCCTATGATGGAAGCTGAAGACTCAACTGTTGCGCTTGATAAAGTTATTTTTGAACCTTTGGTGATAGTTATAGTTTGTATTACATTTTCAAATGTAATTTTTCGATTTCTTTATTATGATTTGCAAGAAAATGTATTAGCTCCAATTAATTTTCTTGATTAATTAATTATGATGATTCATCATATGCACGAAATGATAATCCTTTTTGTAGAAAAATTCGATTACAATCAACAACTACAATAAATATGAACATATATATTTTTTTATTCATCTCATTCTTACTCAACCACATGATAGAAATACTCTATATTTGAGCTTCTATTAGATATTCATATTTTTGTCTTGCTTTAATGTGAGCCTTATGATGATCACCAACTAGAGCTTTTTTTTTTTTTTCCTTCCAATTTTTAGCTCCCATCTCTTTGACTTGTACCAACCAATTCTTGAGTCTTAAATAGATAATAATAGAGACACTATATTACATCTTTTTCGTGCACTATCCTCTAATCAAGTTAGATACTTCTTAAATTACTTTGAATTAAATGTCCGAGCAATGTTAGCCATTATTGTTTGAGAAAAATTATGACTTTTTGGTTGATGTGGTTTCTTAAGCAAATACGTTCTTAGAACACTATTCCTATCATTTATATCATAACTCTATAAATAGAGCAACGAAGCTCATGGTCAGGCAGAAGTTTATCTATATTAATTTTCTCTCATTCTTTTCTTTTTAAATAATGATCAATTTAATAAGCATTTACATAAAAAAAAAATTATAATATCATTATAAATAATTGAAAATTTATAATCAAATATCTTTCATATGAATATTAAAATAACTTATGCTAAACAAATAAATCAATCAAATTTTGATAATTTAATATTTAACAACAATTAGGTGTAAATAAAAATAAAATATTAGAAAAAAGAGGAACACAATTGAACATTATTTAAAATAAAAGCACCCTGACAATTATTTTTAAAATGAAGATACACTGAATCGATCATTTTTAAAAATAAAAACAAAAACACAGCCATTTTTAAAAATAAAAACATACTTCCTATAATTTTGAAAAAATAAAGACACACTAGCTAACTTTAAAAAGTATATAATTCATCATCATAACTGAACTAACTTCATCCCAAATTACTGCCAATCCCCAATTTAAAAAAAAAACAAATAATAATAAGGAAAAAAGAAATGCTATTAACATGAAATATATTTTAAGCTAATAAAAAATAAAATTTGAGGGTTATGCATATAAATATGGAAGCATAGTAGTAGGACATGTAAATAAATAAGAATTGTGTGGTATGCATGTCAATGTATGTAAATATATACGTCTCAAAGCTGTTATTACAAAAATGCCTATAAATTGCGACACCAAGATCATGACAATGTGTTTTTGGTGTAAACTTAAAGAGCTTAAGGGTTATGCAATTAACTCCACTTTCTTTTCAAATATTACAATTGAAGAATCTATAACTACAAACATCCATTTTTGCCTACTAGTGGTTTATCATAACACCAACAAGTTGTTCTTTGCAATCAAATTCAATAAACACAAATTAATCCATTTTCTATGAGCCTTTTTATGAATTGAATTCACTATTGATAAAAGCAAAAAATGGAACGAGAAAAATTGCACGCAGAAAAAAACACCAAATTGGCCTACGTCCACGGAGCTGCAGAGGATTTTACTACTTCGAGGAATTACACCGTCAAACGTCTCGATGTTTACAAGAAAATCTTTATTTTCTTCTCTTCCTTCCTCTCGCTCTCTCTCTCTCTTCCTCTCTTACTCTCTTAGAGGACTTGGCTTGTGGTTTCGCTTGGCTTGATGACAAGCCATAAGATGCTATTTATAGAAACTAGTAGAGCGATGGGTGGGAGGTAGGTGAGCGGTAGGTGGGTAGGTGGGAAGGTAGGTGAGCGGCAAATAAGATTTTTAATTAGGAAGCTAATTAACAACAATTAATTAAATTGCGATGGATTGAGTCTCTACATTACCCGACATGTTCACCTTGGCTATATGTTCTCATAGGTTATTAAACATGCTCATACATGTACTTGCAAAAATGAATTTGCGATTCTTCCTATATGTCATTTAAGTGATAGCTCAATTTAGGTGTTAGATACGTAAATACATAAGAATTGAGTGATATTTTTGTAAATCTTATTTATATATTCATATTAGAGCCTCATTTCCTAAAATTGCAGTTTCGCTCCATTCAAATAATACCATCTTATCTATGTATGAAATTATGCATTTCGTTTTTTAAAAATTAAAATGTTGATATTTTTTATGTGATTTGAAATGATTTCAGTGATATAAATGTTCAAAATAGAGTTTAGGTGTTAGATATATAAATACATTGAAATTGGAATGTAGTATATAGATGTGATAATATAATTACTATATAAATAAATTAGAGTGGGCCACATAAATAAAATAATGAAAAACTAATATATATATATATATATATATATATATAGACATTGATGTGCTAAGAGATTTTATGGTTGTAGAGTAATGGATTATCGTTTTAGATTCTTCTTTAATATCATCGCTTTCAGCTATGTCATTTGTAGAATATCGTGGCATCAAGTAAAATTCTTCATTTTGATTTAATAGAATAAAATTTTGGTGTATCGAAATTCATGTTTGTATCAGAAATAGGCTCAATCATAGAAATGTTATGAAAATTTAAATTCAAGTCTCCACCAGTAGTAGTTGTCCACTGCAAGTCAAATAATATAACCACATATGCTAACGGTATTGCATATCCGAAGGTTCCTGCATAACTGGAGGATTCTGGTTAATTGGAGAGTTTGCAACTACTGATTGAACAAGATAAGCAGATGTCTCTAGATATTGTTGTTCTTATGACTCTTGAAACGAAGATCTCTGTGTTCTGCTAACTAAAGATCTCCTTGAAACATCAGTTGTGTGGTCTTCTCGCAACAGTGGAAGACGACCGACATGAAGCATCAGAGGTTGATCGACTGGGGTCTTATAGTCTGACATTTATTTTATGATACGACCCTGTTACAAAATTATGTCGAATTGGTCGATCAAATACATTATAATCAATGTGTATTAATTCTTTCACTTTGCTTGATAGCTCCAAAATTTCGTCATAACCTTGTTTCATGGAACTAGCATTTGTGTCACGATCCCCTCCAAACCTTTATGGGAAGTCCTTACTACAAATGAAGCAATCCAACTATATATTTGATAATTTTAGATTGTTATTATGTATTATAATAAAAGAAATTAAGTAGTTGTCATAAAATAATACAAATAAATACCACTATTCTCTCTTTTGGCGATCACGCGTAATAGGTTTCAGGAGAATGAGTCGAATGCTTAGCTTAATAGAAAGATACCACATCAAACAATGAGCTAATTCTTCGGCTATGTCTTATCCTCATGACTTTAATGATACAATGAATGCCCGACGATTATTCCATATCTCGATATATTTACTATAATATTGTTTTCAATTAGTTTCTACTCTACCTCGTAATAAGAAGTGATGCAGGATGAAAGTAAATATAATGAAAATTGATTTTGAATAAAAACAGATTTAAGATAAAATTAAATTTCTTATACCTTGCTAACAAAAAAAGTGCGAAACAAGATCCTAACGACACGAGCAGCATTTTCACAGGACGCAAATAACTTAAAATATTTTCAGACAGTATTTCAACACGTCATAAATAGTTCACAAAAAATTACGGCCTGTTCAACATAGAGGAAATAATTCAAAAATTTTAGAAAATTACTAATTTTAAAATGGTTAAATATTCTATAAGATTTGTACAGACCGTTGTTACACCAAACAGTTAAGAGTTGAGGTACTATTTCAACCTCCTCCAGATCATTTGTCATGCACTGTCGGGTTTCCTGGTGATATACCGACTCATACAATACTAATAAATTTGTTAATACTTAGTGAACATAAATAAATTATTTTAACTATAATGAAATAATAATTTCTAGCAAAAAAATTAACGACCTTACTTCATAAAACTTTTGTTTTTTTAAATAAAAAAATATAAACTTAAGTGTAATAAAAGTGTTAATTATTTTACTATATCTAATGAAAAAAATGCATTCGTAGCTATAAGAACTTCAAAGTGATGATGGGGGTACAACGACTGCATACGCCCAAGCTCTCCTTAGACAGTTTAGCTATTTTTGACAAAGCTCTTTAAAGCTTTTAAAACACTTCACTTCATATACATATATCCTTAATCTAATGATTACTTTATTATTTTCTCGTAATAAAAAATAATACACGATAAATATAAATATAATTAAATTGCATTGAGATTAAAACAAACTTCATATAAAACTAAAGTACTCGTACCTTGCTAACAATGATGTACAAGACAAGATCCTGATGGCACGAGCATTATTTTCGACATAGCAGAAATAATATATAATATTTTTTAGCAATATTTCGACATGTCGTTAATAATTTGAATAAATTACGGACAACATTTCAATATGACAAAAGCAATTTTAAATTTTAATAAAATTACAAGAATCATCATAGCGTGGAACAATAAATTTGAGAAAAGAATGGACAACATTTCAACGTATCGTAAATAATTTAAACAACATAGTGTAAGCAAATAATAATGTGGAGCAAAAAATTTTCATATGATAAACATATGAATCTTTACATAAGTTTATTTTTCTAGAAAAAATAAGCTCAAAAGGTAATATATGCGATTCGAACTCCAGATCTTTCTCAGCCACTATGTCTTGAGTAACCACTATGTCTTAAGCGTGCAAATTTTACATAATTATCCTACAATTCTTATGAATTAACATCAAAAATTTAATGTTTATATTTATAATATCTCAATGTTATAAATTTATGCATAAATAGATATAATTAACTATAAAAATTTTATTTTTGCTATGATTTTAAAGGTATGTGTTATTATGAAGGTAAGAAAATAAATAAACTTTAGAAGGCGGATGTGTAAAAACATTTTAAGGGGGGGTATGAATGCAAATTCCCCTGCTCCGTTATTCAAGGCTGTGGGACTCCGATGACCGCATGAGCAAGTCTCCACCAGTGAAAACAAGCAAACGCTGACCCAATTGTGCGTCGCTGGGTCCCGCCACTCCCTGTTCGCACGAACTCTCATCCGTACAGCAGCAATTCCATTAACCCAAGATTATAAAATCAATCACAGCCGTTGAAACATATACGGACGGTTATCCTGTCTTGGTTGACGAGCTGACATTTCCAGGAACCGAGTGGTTACTGTCATCTCGAATTCCTAGTTGCGACTTGTGCTGCAACTATCTCTCGCTCTGTTTTCTTGCCCAGTTGGAGGAGTTCCTGTTCTTTGGCAAACCCTAGATATGTGTGATTCCAGCTAGGCAGATGGATGAGTCGTTGAATAGTGTTTAGGGTTTCGATTTGCGGAAACCCGAGTTCTCTGATCGGAGGATCAATGCGATTGTTTCATGGGCAATACATGCCGGGGAACATTCGGAAGCAAGTGCTTTCAGGGGTACGTGGAGTCGCAGAAACGTTCGGGATCTAATCGGAACTCCTATTCCTTTTCCTCCGGCCAGGCGCCGGAAGAGGCGAGGAAGGAATCGGTGAAGGCGGAACAGGTGATTACTGGCGGCGGAGTGTTGGCGGAGGAGCAAGGGGGCGGCTTGATGAATCGAGGCATGGATCCGCAGTGGAGCTTCGTGCTCGGTCACATGACAGCTAACATCCGCGATCTGTACACTCTTGGTCGGAAATTAGGGCAGGGGCAGTTCGGAACGACTTATCTTTGCACGGAGATCGCCACAGGGGTGGAGTACGCCTGCAAGTCGATTTCGAAGAGGAAGCTGATCGCGAAGGAGGATGTGGAAGATGTCCGCCGGGAGATCCAGATAATGCATCATCTCTCCGATCATAAGAACGTGGTCCATATTAAGGGCGCTTACGAGGATCCCCTCTATGTGCACATCGTCATGGAGCTCTGTGGCGGAGGAGAGCTATTCGATCGTATCATTGAAAGGGGGCATTACAGCGAGAGGAAGGCCGCTGAGCTCACGAAGATTATTGTAGGAGTCGTAGAGGCTTGTCATTCGCTTGGGGTAATGCATAGGGATCTTAAACCGGAGAATTTCCTGCTTGCTAACAAAGATGATGACTTGTCTCTCAAAGCCATCGATTTTGGGCTTTCCGTATTCTTCAAGCCGGGTAAGATTTTTGTAAAACAAAATTGTTCTTTTCGTATGGATTAAACTGCGTTAAAATATACCGTAAAACTTATATGCTTAATGCGCGTAGGTCGTCAATTAACTTCTTTTCCCATAAGCTAATTTATGACTAGCCTTCTGGAAGTTAAAGAGTCTTCAGGCATGGTTGTGTTTTTGTTTTGATTAAAAAGACCGGTCGAGCAGTGCTCAAAGCCAAGGTGCTACATGTAGGGATGGAATATACACTGAGAGCTCCGACCAATTTACAATCAAAACCGCATCACAAAAAATAGGATCACACTGATTTGAGAAATCCGGAACAAACTATAGAATAGAAACCCACAACAAAATAATCACATAAAAACATACCAAAATTTTACTTGGAAAAAATCCGAGAAAGGAAGAAATCATTGATCAACACCACACCAAAAATTCACTATAAAAGGAAAAAGTGCAGAGAATTTTACCACTCAAATCTTTTCTTTACAACACTGGAATTTACAAGAATACTGCTCCAAATACTCTCTTGATCCCACAAAAAAAAATCTATGCTTTGAAATTCCTATTTCGAAATTCACCGCTCCATAGCAAAACCTTTGAGAGTTCACCGTGCATAAAGTCATTATCGCAGCTTTGAATCGAGGACCTAAGAACTGAATTGTAGAGATAACCACACATGGCGTAGGTACGCCACTCCACGATGTAATTAGTTCGCACTCTCTGTGTTCCGAAGGCAGGAGTCAAAGGATTGCGGCATGGCTACGCCGCTACTTGGCGTAAGTTTACGCCGTCCGACGTAGCTTACACCTGTACTGACATGACAACAACAATGTCACTATGCATAAGGCATTAGAATGCCCCTTTGTCTGTGGTTGTGGGTGTTCTTTCATGTTCCACATTTCAACATTCTCTCACTTGAATGCTAATGTCACCTAACACTTATCTTCTAGATATGTACCTCTATATATACCACATTCATAATATTATATCTTAGTGTGACTCATGTTTGGTTTCAACCTTTATGGACTCCAATTGAAGCCAAGCATAGCTCCAGTTTCTTAATAAATACCATTTTATTCAATAGATTTGCAAGATTCCGATTTGTATGTCTTCTCAAAAAATAACTTTTAATTTTCTAGGGGAGAGCGAATACAATAATACCTCAGGTGAAATATATTTTCGTCGTGACATGAAAACAACATTCTCAACAAGATGAATAACACTCATTATCACTATGGAACTTTCCAATCCTCAACTTCTTCCCTGGTCTGCCATAAAGTCTTATAGTCAAATCATCTATTTGCTAATTGTACTGATAGAAATGTATTCGGCTTTCATAGGTTAAATTGCAATAATCTTTGGCACCTTGGAAACTCAACTCACCGTTGTGTTATCTAAATGAAGATATACTCTACAATACTTTTTTTATTATCTAAATCTACTGTCAGATCTGAACCTACAAATCCATGTAAATTGGTCCTTGCATTTTGAAATTAAAGTGTCATGTTGACTGTTCTCCTAAAATATCTAAAGATTCACTTCACGACCTCCCATGATGTCTATTTCAATTTTTCATGCACCTACTGACTACTCTCACTGCATAAACAATCTTTGGTCTTGTACAAGTCATATCACCAATCAGACTTCCAACTGCTGAAGCATACAAAGTTCTTATTTGTGTTTGCTCGTCTTCGGACTTAGGCAATGGTTCTTTAAATAACTACAAATGACTATCAAAAGAGGTTCATAGTGGTTTTGTCTCAGCCATCTTAAATCTATGTAGCATCTTCTCAATATACTCTACCCGAGACAACTTCACTCTACCTGCACTAATGTCCCCGTTGATTATCATTTTGAGGAACGTTCTGATTGGATCTAAATCCTTTATCTCAAACTCCTATTATAATTGTTTTTTATCAGTTTTCTATTTTTTTCATATATGTACTTGCAATCAACATGTTATCTACATACAAAACGAGCAAAATATAATAATTGCCAACATTTTTGATAAATCAATAGTGGTTTGATTGGCACTGCATGTACTCACTGTATGATAGAATCTGTCAAATCTTCTGTATTACTATCTTAAATCTACTTCAAGCCATAGTCTCTTTTTCAACCTGTAAGCCAAATCTTCTTTACCTAAAACTTTATAACTCTGTGGTTGCACCATGTATAGTTCATCTTTCAGATCTTCATGTAAAAATGTTTTTATATTCATCTGTTCAAGATATCGGTCTTCCTCTTCTATCAAATTCAGCATAACTCTAACAGTTGTCATCTTAACCACTTGAGAAAAAAACTCACTGTAGTTCACTCTTT